AAGAACGCCGTCCAAATCGTCGTCATCCTAACAGAAGAACAACAGAAGTGCAGCACGGTGATATTTGTACGCCACAGACGTGAGATCATGTGAAAGTGTGCGTGTGCTCGGTAAATCTTCAACATTGATTTATTCGGAAATAAAGCCCGAAGCGGAAAAATGTTATCCTTTCTTTTTCGACTTATTTTTGTGGGTGAATAACACGTGGTAGAAAGTTTAATACGAATATATTTTATAATAACAATTGCACAATAACGATAAAGACACATAAAAGGGAATATTAATAACCTGATCAATGCTCTCTTATAACGCGGTTCTACTGTTTACTCAATGCTACTCTCTAGGACACTGACCGTTTCCCCAATCTCGAGTCGATTCGAGTATCAGCCATAGTTTATGTCTATCCTAGAATATTATTAAAACCAAATCCTCAATTTTTGCACGTAGAGTCACCCCCTTGTCGCTTGTACCACCAGTTCGGATAAGTATAACTCCTGACCTGAGTCCTTCCAGTCCCTTTCGCGTCTAAGACACGGGCCTCCTAGAAAGCCCTACTGACGAGTCCACTAGGAGGCCCAGAACGAAAAGCCCACACCTTTCCTTTGCCGCCTATCCTTTCTACTCATTTCCTCCATCTCTCCCATACCTCGCACACCAGACTCGAAACGTGAATCCGAAAATGTACGAAAAACCTCACAGAAAACCGATCTTCAACCCACGCGTGTTCTCTGTTGCAGGGTCGCCAGCACACGATGAGGGATCGTGAAAGGGCAAAGGATGTCCAGTCGGACGCTAAAACGGCGCTGTGTCGCGACTAAGCTCTCCACTCCTTCCTGAATGGAAAAGCACCGCGCGCAAAAGCGAGGCAAACGGACGATAGTAACGCGAAAGGGCTGGCTCGTCGAGCCCCTAACAAACGTTCCGGTAGCGCGGCGGAAAAATGACGGGGCTTACGTTCGCGTTGGTGTTATTTCTGTCGGTGGCTGGGAGCCTGCAGACGAGCGGCGTGACGAGGGGCGGCAGCGGCATTCAAATCGGTACCAGCGAGCGTGGCACGCACTCGAAAGGCACTGGATTATTGGGGGGGCGAGGTGAATCGGGGGTGAAACTTGGCGTGGCGAGATTTCCGAATTCTACGAGGCAGAGACCGTTTATCACGACCACCACCACCACGCCGCAACCGCAGATCAAGTTCACCCACGCGCCGCACTCCGCTGACAAGAAGTACAATATTACCACACTGAGGGTAAGCGCGACTTTCTTCACCGCCTATTTTCTCCACGATTATCGCACCGCTAGACGGCGGTTATGGCTGTTGGTCGAATTACACGGAGGATTCTAACGGTTTAACATCCTCGATTTGCCGAGAAACTTTGGACGTTTCGTTGCTGGAAATTGTACGTTGCAGGACTACTCAAGTGATATAGAAATTATGCATTTAACACCTTGACTTATCATTTCTTTTCCTGACTATGCACCTAAGGCGTCAACTATTTACTATTTTAGATTAAATTTATTTAAGATTAATTAAATTTGCCAATCTTCAGTTTTATAAATTAAATCAAAAATTAGAATTGAAATTAATTTTTCTTACTGATATAGCTGTTTTTATCAGATCTTGACCGAAATCTGTGGTACGAGTTTGACTCGTTGTTATACGTATTGCTTTAAGCAGAAAAATTTATCCGTATTATTCTGGAATTGAACAATTTTTTAGTTTTGCTTTTGCAAGAGTATGATTGAGTGAAGGTAGGGACTCGGGCTGGTTTCTCTAGAAACCCGGTCCCAACGCCTGACTTCCCCACGCGCTAAGCGCTGGGTCAGGTAAGACCCAGCCACGTGCTCGCGCCACGCGGTCCTTGCCGGGTAGAAACCCGCAACTTGCGCCAGGGTTTCCGGAAGGCAAGAGAGGGGCGTCAAAGCCCGCATATAAGGACGCGTTAAGAGCACTGCAGGGAGAATTGTAAGAGAACGAGATTGAACCACGTAGTTGATAAGGAAGAGGAGTTAAGATTAGAAGCTCTTTCACTTTATTCCTCGAATTTGGTTCTACTTATCAAATACTCTAATTTCTTTTCTTATTTTTTACGCTCCTTTTATCTGTCCGATGTGTTCCATATTACTTTTGAATTGAGCAATTTTTTAAGTTCTTGTTTGTTCTCGGAATTTAGTTTTAACACTTTTAAGGATTAAAGTTCTATTTCTGAATTTTTTACCGCTTTAAAATAATATATTTTCATAATTTGAACTTTCAGTTTGTCTCAGTTACTACTAAGATTTTCTTTAATCGAAGCTCTTCGACAGAGAGTTCGCTCTTTTTCTTATCCTTGCCAACTTCACGAAGGATAAGTCGCTATATTATTTCCCGCATCGTCTATACGTTCTTACCTCCGCAAGTCGAAGTAGAACCACTTGAAACCAATAAAATTAGACGACCCCGTTTCATCCGTACATTTGTGCTCGTTCCGCCGGTATCCCCGATAATTTCATTCTACGAATAGTTTGAACAGCAGTAATCAGGACAACATTCCACGGCCAGAATTCCTATCAGAGGACGAGGACGGATCTTTCCGCGGCTAAATGCGATTCCCCTTTTTTTCTCTTGCCTCTTCCCCGGGTCTCCAAACAGCTTTAGTCCCTTTTCGAAGAAGAAACGATAAAAAATTCAACGTTTCCAGATACTGAGAACCGGATTACCAAGTCCCTCGGAATATGGCTTCTTGCTGTCCGAGAAGGTATCGATCTTACTCAATAAGTAATGAATTCTCTCGCAAATTTCCCTGAATCGGATAACCACGTTTCACACGGAATACATCGAAAGTAAGGGATCAGTTTTATCAGAATGCTCGCAGATTTTTTAATACCCAAACATGCTAGGGTAGAATACAAAAGTATCTCATACGAATTCTATTTTATTTCTGATATTTATGTTTAGGGGATGAAATCGTCTTTCGAATTTTAGGTTTCAGGGTAGAATACGAAATTCTTTTTCATCTTCGATATTTATGTTTAGGGGATGAAATCGCCTTTGGAACTTTAGGCTAGCAAAGCTTAATTCGAAATAGCTCCGATGATTCTTGATCGAGGAAGAAGCATTCTCGATATCAAAGAATGTCAATGGCGATTTCCAAAAAATTCAGAAGAAAATATTCAATTTTAACTACTCGGTCGATAAATGTAATCATTGCAATTGTTGAAATTTCTTATAAATTAGTATTAGTCGTAACATTATCGAGGCAGTCGTGTATCGTGAAATTCGTTAATACGAGAGTCATCCAAGTGCTTCTTAACATTCTCAAGCATAATACCGAAGGGGAAGGGGAATAACTTCACCAGCCGTTACCTTACACTCCAAACTCGGCGATTCCTCAGATTAATCGAATTCTCCAAGAGTAATAGTCGCCGCGTTATCCGCTAATTACACGACGGTGACAGCTGTTTTGCGGTGGATTTTTTCCAATTCCCTTTACCCCACGGTTGTTCCCTGAAATATTATCCTCGGGATAATTACGAGCTTCTGCCTGCGCATGTATAATTTCTGGGGGTAATCGCTTTAAACGCGCCCAGGGAAAAGCTTGTCCTACTCTACCGAGTAATTATTCCGTTTCTCGTCGTGGCCGCCATTACTCTCCCTTTTAACCAGACACGAATTATCACTTTCGATCGGTACTTCGACTGACGTTTAATCGTCGTAATGTACACTCGTTGGAAACGATACGGCGAGGTCGTAAATGCGGGCATTAAACCAGCGATATGTATCGATATCGTGATACGTCATTTGTCAATTGATATTGAAAATTTCTAATTACAGTTTTTTTAGCAAAATTATTAAGCTTCCGTCGCATTCTGTACAGTATTGTGGGATCAGAAATATGAATAGACGTTTATTTTACAAAATATAAGAATAACTATAATACTATGACACACGGTTCTCAACTTTTCCAAACACACTGTCCCTTCATCTTTTCTTTTCGTCAGACTTTACGTCTGTGGTGAGGCAGGAGGGGTGGTGGAGTTCCCTGGAGTATAGTAGCTCCTTACACTCTGAAATAAATAAAAGTTATTTAGTTACATGATTACTTGGTAATAGCTGAGGCTGAATTATAATTGGGCCAACAGGAAAACTTTCAAAAGACCTGTTCTGCAAAAATAGCGACTAATCACCAGTAGGAATGAGCCAAGCAGGTGATGCATGCGTGGATGAGTAAAGCAGAGTAGCAGTTAAAGAATAGTTGGCTGACAATCTGAAAAGCTAAATGAGCTATTAGTAACTGCGTATTGATGATTGCAACAAGATGCATGCTTAGTTGCTTGCTGTAGAAGGGGGGGGGGGATAAAATATTAGGTACATATACTATTGATCTAGTGGATAAACACACTGTCCCTTCATCCCTCGCACGCTGTACTTTATAGCCAGGCCCTTCGTGGGCCTCTCGTTGGGCCTGGCTATCGTCGCTCGGCTTTCTCTCTCATGCTCGCCACATTTGCTTAAAGGTACTCTATCCCAAAATTACGATACTACAATATTAGAATTATAATTGTCATGTTGGGAAAAATTAACGCGCAGCTGTTAAGGGTAGGTCATTTCTGAATTAATATTTAAAATTTCTGCTTACAATTTTTTGTCAAAATTATCAGATATTAAGCTTCTGTCAGCTTCTGTTCAATATTACAATTATAATTGCCATATTGGGAAAAATTCATTGGAGGCTGCTGAGTATTAAGGCGTATGCAAATTTTTTTAATGTACTGCAAGGGAAGAATCAACTACAATTTGATACCGAACGATCTTTAAACTACTGCTTCAACGTTTGGATTACTGTACTTTGACATCTGACCGATTTTACGACCTCGCTATATCTGTTCCATCAACTATACGTTCTCGAAAGGCAGAGAGTAACTGACGTATCGCGATTGGTACCATTCGTGTCTTCCTTTCAATCTGGCACGTCTTTCCGCCCCGAACACGCGACTTTTAGAAAATAATCGAAAACACGATGCTTATCTCCTTGAGCGAAAGAAATAGAAGGATTCTCGGATAAATGGGAAACTTTCAACGTAAATGTTTCTTTCCGAAGTTGTCACGTCTACTTATTGAAATTGCTGAAATTATCGAGGAGAGATTAAATCGTCTGTTTCATTCGGTTTCATTCTGCGTAGAAGCTTTGCAAAAACTTACGAGATCATTTTTCACAATTTGAACATCCCCGTTCGAAACGTTCCGCGCGGCGTAAGCGACACGGTGCAAGGATCGTGCTACTGGGAATGTTAAAAGCAGTTCCGCGAAACGAAATAAACAGGACCATTCCGAAACTCTGTACACGTATATTATTTAACAAAAGTTCGCGCGAAATTGCGGCACGCAGGAGGCGGAATTAAATTGCAGGATTTGGGTTCTGCGCGAGTGCGTACGGCACGAAAAGAAGAGAAAAGGGAAACGTAAGCGCGAAACAAAATAGAGCAGAGGAACGGGCGAAAACAAAAACGAGAGAAATTTCACGCAGAACGAGAAGTCAAAGGGGGAAATTTCGCGAGAAGAGAATGGACAGAGTTTTGAGGCATGAGTGGATGAAAGAGGATTCTCGAAACGCATGAAACGGGAAGCGGGTGAAAAATAAAAAAAAATAGAGGCAGGGGAAAAAATCGTGATCGCCATAAAAAACGGAGTGGAAAAGAGGATAGAAATTGTGGGTTGAGTGGTGGTCGGAGCGTTACGGGAGAATAGAAGGAACAGGGATGAAAAAAGGAAGAAGTGGAAATCAAACAGAGAAGTGGAAAACGAACGAACGAACAGAGAAAGTAAGAGGGATCGGTGGAGATAGCGATGGTGAATGAGATGGAACGGGGAAAAGTGCACCCAATTTTTAAAGCATTAAGCTAAACTGCCGCGAAAACGGCGGCAATTATGGCGGCACGCTTCGTGGGAAACTGGGTCGTGACGTCTAATTGTAAAAGCGGGATGATTTACATTTCTAATTAGCCATATATATATATATAGAGAGAGAGAGGGAGAAAAGGCGAGAACGAGTACGGAAAAGAAGGGGAGAGCTTCTTCTCGGCGAAGAATTTTTCCAAAGTTTGTCTCAATTAGTAGTTTAGTCGAGATTTTACAGAAGTTCTAGTAGTAATTTTGTGGAATGATCTCTGTAAAGTATACTAACACTGGAACTAGCCACCGGGTCAAAAATGACCCATTAGCAACTTTCCAGAAAAATGTGAATATTCCATACTGGTATGAATTATCGTTTGTAACTTTCGGACTTTATTTTTTGCATCTATACTTGTATTTGTATCGATACTAATCTAATTTTTTAATCACGTTTTAGTTACATAAAAATTCACTTTTAGAAATTATTCTGATAGATAATTTTGACTCGGCCGGTAGTTCTAGTGTTAACTCATTTTGCGTGTATACTGAAAATTTGATTCAATTGCGACACGTGACGAAAATGAGGAAGCATTTAGGGTATCGAGGAACATAGAAGTGTGAAGTGTTTTCTCTTGAGCAAATCTAGTCTAGGGTAACGAAAATTCACGGCTTCGGAATGATTTTGTCGCAGCGGAGGATACGGCCGAGTAAAGTTTGCAAGCTGATAGGCAGAAATGTAACTTACTGTCCATTCTCTGCCTACCTTCCATTCATCCGGCGCGATCGATTTGTGCAACAGGTGCGAGCTGATCCATTCTCGTCGTAACAAAGTGAACACTCTGGATGCACTTTTTCGCCCGCTTGAATGCGTAATACTTGCCTATCGTATTATATCGGGATTCTCGTCTTTTGGTAATGATTCGCGGGAACAAAGTGCTTCGAATCTTCACGAGAGTGTCGATATCGTAATATTTCCTGGTGACACCTTAACGACAAATGTTCGAATTCAGATCTCGTGACAAACCTTGGCACAAATAGACCTGAAGAAAAATTACAATATTTATTAAATGCATTGTATTTCCTAATTATTTTCTAAATCAATTATTTGCATTTTTGTTGTTATACGTTAATTTTCATGCCAGTGAAATTTCGATCGACGCGTTCAATCTAAATTAATATTTTGTACGGAATATACCTATGAATTTCGAGTATACGTTCAATTCTGGTCGTGAGTGAACGATCGTTTTTCCTATGGAAACCGACATTTTCCAACGAACACGCAATTTTCCTCAGGGGCAGTTCTATTTTTCACACGAACCCGTGTTCTTTCGTGTAACAGGTGGGCATGCTGGTGCCGCACAAGTCCTTCGGCGTGAGGGAATACACGAAGGCAGTGACTTCGGCTGTGCATTTGCTGCAGAAGAGCACGAGGGGCCCGAAAATGAGACTTTTCGAAAGATACGACATCCACGTGAAGGTGGCCATGAAGTCGCTAACTCCGAGTCCAACCGGTGAGTCAATATTCCATCTGAAACCGACACTTTTCCGCGGTTAAAACAGAGATTGAAAATAGGCGAAAAATTTTCAATCCCACGGTACCATTGTTCGCAAAATTTCACGTTAAACATGTGACACCGGTAATCGCATCCGTTGTGCACACAAATGATCAATAATTGTAACAATAATTCAAGGAGAGGAAACAACCGATTAAACAGAAGTTATGTAAATATCCATGGAATGAATTAATCAGCAATAAACGCGTTAATTCAGATGTTGTTGTAACGCGATCAGAATAGATCTATTATTAATTGCCGATACAGTGAATACCAATCGTTCGACAACGCTAATTACAGGTGCATTAGCGAGGTTCTGTCGTGATTTGTCACGAATCCAAGCTCGAATTCATCGAGCAATCGGAACAATTCCATCTGGATTGGAAAAGTTTCGGTAACGAGAATCTCGTGTTGGGTAACTTGACGGCTCGTTTGCACGTGACGCCGGTGTGTTCCTTGGGACCGTTAGGACCAGTTCACGTAGGAAGAGAGACCTTCTTTCGCTCTCCACGCCATCCCCTTTACTCGCTGCCTTATTGTTCCCCCGGTGGTCTCGGGCTAACGAGAATGAAACAAACCGACAATGAATTAACAATTCTCCGAGTGCTTCAATTAATTCTATTCACTAGATTGGATTACGTTGAATGGATTTCAAGCGAGTAGCGAAAGAGAGAGAGGAAGATGGAGGAGAAGGAAAAAAGAAAGGAGGAAAAGAAAATTTCATCGTGCAAGTCGGTAAAATCGTTCCTCAAATACTGTTTCACCCTATAATCCAAGTTCGTTTCTCTCTCCTCTTTGTGGGCGGGGGAGTAAGTGGAAAGATGGAAAAGTGCTGGAATAACCTTTCCGCCTCGAAGCTGCGGTTATGCAAATTTAATCGTCAATTGAAGTTCGCCGATCTTACGTTTGTAATTAGATACGAAGAGTTTGTCTCGGTATTAACATTGATTAACTATGGGTTTACAGCGTTTTACGGTGGTTTAATTACCGGCGTATCGTATCATTTGAAGGCAAATATGATAAGTCATATTTTGTATTTTTATAGAGGAGTAAAGTTTGAAGTTCAAATATTAGCACATCTGTGCTTTTATTTGGTTTTTGGATGAAACGTGTTTTTCTTGTCCTCTCGAACATTTCAGAAATATTGATCGTTGTAATATCAGCTACGATCTTGGTTTTTAAAATTTTCATTTATATTTCGTAAAATTTCAGAATTCTGAAATTTTAGAAGAGAACTTTGCCACAACTTTCAAATCTTCCACGGAAAATAAGAAAATTCCCTCTTTTTCTTCGGGAATATTCTCAATTTCACTTCGATCTTAACAAGAAGATAAGACATTTGCAAAAATGCCCAACCGTTCCAACCCTTTCTTTCCACAAAGTATTCCAATTCCACCTTGAAACGCTTCGTCGCAATCCTATCTTCTCGACTCTTCCTGCAAAAACGTCTCACTTTTTTCCTCCACTCATACGTCAATTCGATCCCATACACTGGCTTCGTCAAACAACATACACTCGAGAGTTGGAACTCTCGGAACGCAGCAAATTTCACCGATTAGCAAACGTGAGAAGTTCTCCATACTGCAAATAGACACGAAACCGCCAATCGGAAGCCATTGAACCTCGGCGACGCGTAAATAAGGCAGAAGTTCAACTGGTGAGCGGTTAATATCGCGACGTGAGCGAGGTAATCGCAAGAGCGCGACTTGTTTACGAGGCAGCCGCAGCCATTTTTTCGCCTAAGCTCCCCGAACATCCGTGAACCATTCCGTTTCGCGCGACCGTTCTCCTCCGGGGCGAGATAAAGCGACCCTTTCTTCCCTCCTTCTCTCTCTCTCTCTTCGATGTAATTAGGAGAGGAAAAGAATGGGGGAAACGGAGAAATAAGAACTGCTCGTAGAGTTCCGATAGAGTCGTTTTATCGGCGCCTCGGTGGGTCTGGAGTTTGTTCAGCCGATTCTATTTCGAACAATTGGACGTGAATAAACGTGGCGTTATCCTGGTTCGTCATGGGACCACACACGAGGGCTACAATTTTTTTTTTGGAAGAATTGTGTACAGTAGTTTCATTTGAAATTTTCATGGAGAATTTTTGGTGGTTTTTCTTTAGACACGTATATGTGGATGATACGGTCTTGAAATTCTTGCGGAAAATCCCCTCGGAATTGCATACTCGGACACTCACTCACGATGGGTCGTCTTTAAGGCTACTTGCCCACCCATATGTATGTACGTAAGATACATATATATCGACGTAGACGTCATTTGGTTTTCCGAACGTATTCATAAAATCTCCGCTTCCTGGAGAGATGTGACGTGTTCACGTCCACAGGGGCATAAAATTCCTGGAATTATAAGGAGATATGGTAAATTCCCGGGACGATTTTGGAATAACTTGGGATATTCTTTCCATACTTTCGACCGAATTATTTCCCCGATAAAACGTATTCCACGGAGATAGGGGGCGGCGAACGATTTTTCCCGACGAAACATGTAATAACGCGAATGTTAGCGGTGTAAAAAGGTACCGGTTCTTTCTTTTTTTACGACGTTTCCGACATTTCCATGTTCGACAAACGGCAGAAAAGCAACTTTATTCCAGAAATTACACACGCGACAGCGTAGTGCATTCGCTGTGGAACTTTAAAAATAACAAGTTGCACTCTCTGTAATTACACTTCATCGCGGGCTACATCCTGAAACTACATTTCTCTCTCTCTCTCCCGCGCCAGCTCGAAAAAAAATTCGGCTGCGTCCAAATTTCAATTACTCGCGATTCGTATTTTTCCTGGCGGGTGCAATGTCTTGAGAAATATAACAGCGCATAGGCGTGAAGCGTGTCAAACGCGTGGAAAAGCAACGTGTCCGGTGTTTTCGTGGATTCGGAGCGTGAAATTTGCCGATGAAAAATTCACTCGCGCGTCCTTGCTTCTAATTGAAGATGCTCTCGCTTTTGGAGGAAGACTTAAGATAAGCGACGATTTGAAGGCAAATTTGAAATTGAAGTGTAAATTTCGAGCCGTCTTTTCAACTTTATTAGACTGTATCAACTTGTCACAGAACTCTGCCACAGATTACATCTTCTCGATACTCTTATTTTGTCAAATTTTTACTATAACTTGCATTACGAATGAATCAGCGACAAGGAATTTTTAAGGGTCGTCAAGGGCAATTTCGACGCTATTTTCTTTCGTATGATTTGCGACAGGTACTATTATTATATTAGGTGAAAGAATGAATTCTTTCCGACTGGATTCAAATAATTGATTCAAAGCCACCGAGTTTCTATCGCGATGGTATTCGCAAGCTGCCAGAAAAGTGGCAAAAGGTCATCTACATAATTGAAATTATTTTGTCGATTGATCTGTGTTCATTATTTTGAAATTTTGAAATATTAAGATATTATTTTTTTAAAATAATATTTTGAATAACTTTGATCGTATCCAAAAGTCGGAAAGAAATCATTTCTATACCTTATTAGGTTCTAAAACTTACATCTAAGATTTATGCAATAAAGTGTAAGGTACTTACACCGTATCATTTCCACACCTTATTATTGGAGCATTAATTAGATATTTGTAACAAGTGTGTCTCGTCATTAGAAGGCAAACTAGATTAAAACTAGACAATAATACGTAATTGATGGAGTTAGTGTACCAATTTGCCACGTGACGGCCATAATCGACACTAGTACCGACAGATAATTACACAAACGATCACTATAGCCAACGTTACTATCCACGAGAATGATACAGCCAACGTTAGAAGCAAAAGCGTCGAAGAAGGAATCTTCCTAAACACTTCTGTTCGTATCAGTTTAAGCAGACACTTGCAGGCGAAACTTGTCGCAAAGTAAACGTAGAACGAGTTGCGCCGCCGTCACGAAAGGATCCAGCGGCACGGATTGAAAGAGAAAACGTGTCTCTGCGGAAACCGTGAAGTGCCTCCCCGAAATGGACGAAAATTGGTAAAATTCGATGGTTCGGTGTGGCAGAGAAACGTGGATGAAGTGAGCGGACGGATCGAAGGATATATTTCTTGATACTTTGCTTGCGTTCCGTGACTGCGTTTCTCCCCTGGTACTTGTGAAAAGTGGGCCAACAGAAAAAGCGGCTGAACGGAGAGAGGTATGAACTCATTGTGCAAGGATTTTCAAGCGTAAATTCTGTGGAATTTCGCAGTTCTTAAAATGCCAGGTCACGATTCGAGTAAGACGAAAGTTCCAGTTCAGTTTCTATGGAAATTCGAACGAACGTTCGTTTAATTTCTGCTAAATTTACGAATGTTGCGACCTGATGAGGACGCAACGAAGTCTCGGTTCGGCGGATTATAGTAATAAGCCACTTAGTCACATTTGGCCGCCAGACCGAGGTGC